CCCCAAAACCCCAAAACCCCAAAACCCCTTTATATTCTTGTAATATAATTTTTATTTCTTTCATATTCCCAAAGCAACTTCCATGTTAAAAGGAGAGGTAAATCATACTCATCTAATCCTTCCCTACAAAACTCACTACTGGCCTCATTATTTTTCTTAACACAGAGAATTCCCCTAAAGCCACTCGAATCCCGAAATCCCTAATTTTCCAATTAACAATTCTCTTCTAGACCGATAAGAAAAAGCAATATAAGTCAAAGTTCATCCTAAAAAACCTACTTGACGTGTACAAAATCCTGACATCGCACCAAGAAGAGCACAGAGTTTATACAGGTAATTTATCAAGTGTGATTTCTGTAGAGAAGGTAAACACAGAGCGGATTTAGGACTTCTAAGGGGAAATTAGGGATTAGGATGGCTCTATGAGCTTGGGAAGTGCTCGTATAAGGGCTAAGTTGTTAGGACTGGGAATAACCTACTTGGGCTTGGTGTGACTGGTCTCATAATTTCATATTTGGCATATACTGGGGATTCAATCGTTAGATTATGTTAAAGTTAATAAAGCGTAAATAAACAAGAAGAATATGAGGCTATGAGTGAAAATGAGAAAATGCTGGTAAGGTATATAAGTTACAGTAGATTAATAAGGAAGAAGAGCCCCAAGAAGAACTCATTGAGCCAAAGCTTGATAAGGAGCAGGTCAATATCATTAGATCTGTCATCAGAGGTGTCCAGGAGTTTTCTGAGCTATCTAATTTTGCTAGAATTGATATTGCTCATAAAATAAAAGCTAGGAAGTGTAAGAGAAATGAAATTATTATTGATAAATAACAAGCCTGAAACTGCAAACTGCTATGTCTTACTAGAAGGAACTATCAAGCTTTTCGGCACAACAAAGAAGCTTAAAGAGTACCTTGAAGAGAGCAAGATCGGGCTTGAAGATGTTCATGAGTCTCAGAAAGATAATGATCCTGAAACATCCCCAAATCCATTGAGAATATCAAGCAATGCTTTAAATGCTGAACAAGTGATGAGGTTAAATTCAGCCTCTTCTCTTTCCGAAAAGGTATCTCCATTGCTAAATTTCTAGAAAAATAATGATGAAATCAAAGAAGATATTGATCAGAATTTTGATACAAAAGACAGCAAAGATGAGAACAAAGAGGATATTTTTAACAACTACACCAAACAATATGTAGAACCAGGAGAATGTTTTGGAGACTTCTCTCATATCTACGAAAGAAAGTACGCACCTTGCTACGCCATTGTCGAGTCACAGAAAGCAAAGATTCTCCAATTTAATCAAGTAGATGTCAATAACCTTGTAAAGAAATTAGCAAGCTCTGCTAAGTTTGAAGGGCTCATACAGTTCATCACTAGTGTGATTCCCTCATTTGCAAAAATGAGTGCCCTCGCTAGAGACAGAATGGGAAGATGCTTCCGAGAAAGACATTTCCTCCCCGGGATGAGACTTGTTGAAGAAGGCCAGAGGTGCAATAAGATGCATCTTATAATGAAAGGCGATGTCCTACTTCAATCCACTAAAAGTCCACTCGAGATTGAAGTAAACCCTAAAGGGCATTTCGAGTTCAGAGAAGAGAACAAACTTATGACTAAGAAAGGGTATATTTCAGATACATTAAATTCCTTCCAAATTGGGATCAAGTTCTCGAAACAATGGATTGGAGAAGAATGTCTTATCCTTGACCAAGGAAACTATCTCTATAGTGCAGTTGCGAAGAACAATGTATCAACATTAGAGATCAGTGATCATGATTTCAAAGTCAAGTTCCCACGGGATTACATTTCTAAGCTAACCTCAGCTTCAAGAGTGAGGTATGAGTATCTCATTGACAGAATGAAATGTATCACAAAGTCCTCCAAACAAATCTATGAATGTGTTGAGAAGCAAGGTCTTTATAATGAAGTGTACAGAAATACTAAAGAAAAGCATCCAAATGCATCCAAAAATGTCTTGATAAGCATTGGAAATTATAACCTCAATAATATTGACAACCTCGTGCCTTCAAGTTTGCATCAGCAGAGCTTAAAGATACTTGACAACAGCTCTCCTCAAAAAGAGGGTGAGATGAAAGATAAAGCCTTCAAGGCATTCAGAGAAGGTTTGGATTCATCCCTAACTCTTTATAGAAATTTCGAAGTTGCATAAATAGCTCTAGGTCCAGGTCCAAAACAAAGACCAGTCTAGATACTCATGAAGAGTCATACAAGCCAATCAGTAAATACAGCACGAAGAAAGGAGCCACCATCCTTGAAAGCTCTCCTGACAAATCTGTTGAGAGGATGCTGAAAGGCGTGGGAGTCAGAACCCAAAAACCAGAGGTAATATTCAAGTAAAATAGTTTAGTTCAGGATTCATTCAACTAAAGAAAAGACTCGGGAAGCGATCATTCCTCCTTATAAATCCAGGAATTACAGAAATATTGAGCCAAAGTACCAGCTATCTGCTGGCGCTTTGAGGACTTTTGAGCATTTAAAGAGCCGTAACCTGAGGTCTACCAGTTCACAAGAGCAGAAAATAAATATACAGCTTGGAGGTATGCTTCTAGTCATCCTTAATAGCCTACAATAATGAGAACTCTTTGTTCACGAATAACAACATTACAATGAATATGCACAACAGAGGTGGACATAGCACAGTAAATTTATGAGTAAAAAATAATAGGAAAGCTTAAATCTTGAAGAAAGGCCATATATCAGCAAGCTAAATGCTTCCTCATATCTTAACGGGCAACTAGCAGATGAGCAGATGTATACCAGAATAACACAGGTGGTCTCTAGCAAACGTATAAGCAATTATAACCAAGATCTAGGCTTCTCAAAATCTCCTAAAAGAAGACTCCTTCTGAAAGGATTTGATAGGTATGTCCATATGTATCATTAACAGGAAATAAAAATTATTGAAGTAAGGTACTATTACCAATCCTGAAGAAGAGAAACACTTCTGATATAAAGCAAGAACGCTTTGAGAAGATCAGCCAGAGGATCAGGTAAGGTTCTTCGGATTAACAATGCCATATTGGTTTAGGTCAGTGGTTCATAGCCAACCTAGAAGTAAAACCACCACACCCATAGAGACGAAGTTGAAGACACAGTTCAAAATAGGAAATCGGATCATTAAAATTTTAGGCCCCAAGGTGAGAAGGTCAATTGGAGTTACGAAATAATATTCAATCATAATTTTTGAATTAGGGGTTTTGGGGTTTTGGGGTTTTGGGGTTTTGGGGTTTTGGGG